TGGAAGGGTCCTAATTGGGTTTTGGGTGAGGCAGATCAGCTGCCTCTGTGGCTTTCATTTGACTGCTCTCGGCTTCTTGCTGTCTCTTCTAACCACATGGTCTGGAGGCTGAGCTGAGCCGCGTCCTCTCATCCCCCGGCGTGTCACCCTAATCTAGCCTTGAAGGCTGCTCCACTGTCTGTGTCTGGTAAGCCCGGAAGCGCGAGGTGAGGGCTGGCCTCACCGCCCCAGTCCAGGCTCATTGGAATCCGTAGGAAACGTGCAGATCAGAGTCGGTGGTGATGTGGGAGCTGGGCCAGAGCTGGGGTGCTGCCGGTACCCGCCCCACTGCCCTGGCTTAGGGCCGCTCATCGCAGGTGAGCACCTGCCCTGGAAACCCGGCCGCCTGTTCTGTCTCCGCCTTTGTTTCTCCTTCCTCCATTCTCTGGGGAGTCCGCCACTCGCGCGCGGGCCACTCCTAAACGGGGCTCCTCCTCGCCCCACTCTCCTTCGAGGCTCCCGGCTCTCCGGCAGCTCTCCGCGGCTACCCTTTGCTGGATTCTGTCCTCGGCCACCGAGCGCTTGCTGCTGGTCGGCTCCCCCTCCCCTTCGGCTGTCCGTGTGTGGCTCCATCCCTGACCGCACCCGGCTCTGGCCTCAGAAATAGTGCTCGCCCACGTGGCACCCGCGAGTGACGGGCAGCTCCGCTGAGTGTGCACAGGATGGTGCTCAGGACACGCAGGCCGTCAGCGGCAGGTCCTTAGAATGTGTGCTTCCTGGGCTGGACCGTCGGCTGGGCAGGGCCCGCTATGGCGCTCTGGGCCCCAGCATTCTGCCATATTTCTGTTGGCGGCCACGGCCCACGGCGGGTGCATGCGTGCTGGCACTGTGACCAAATCTGTTGTCTCCTCTCCTCCCTGCTGTCCTCCGGCCCCTGTCTGCAACCACCTGCTCACCTCTGCGTGGCAGAAGTCCTCCAGCTCTGCGTCCTCCGAGGCTTCGGAAACCTGCCAGTCCGTTAGCGAGTGCAGCTCCCCCACCTCGGTCAGTGCTCCCCGCCCCAGGACTGTCGCCAGCTGTTCACCCTGTGCCCTCCCAACCTGAGGCTGTCACAGCAGGGAGGGCTTAGGTTCGTGCAGAGAGCTCTGGGCACGTGGCACCTGTCTCCAGCAGAGAAGCTTCCTGCCACCACCTGCTGCCACTTCCCTGCTGGGACACCCTGTCCCGTCCTGGGCCAGGTGGGATGGAGAGGGTCACACCTACCCTTCTGGGCTCTGGCCTTGTCCACGATCGCAAGCCACGGGCCCCTTGCAGACCTGGACACCCTTGGCCGCAGGCAGCAAGGTCAAGGGTCCCCTGACCTGCCTGCCACACCTCACAGGACTGGACCAAGGCCGGCCCCCATGAGCAGCTCTCGGGCACCACCCTGCAGCGGAGGAAGGACCGAGTGGAGCTCCTCCGAGACACAGAGCCAGGGTCTGCTAGCATAGGCCCCCTGGGCCCCACTGGAGAGGAGGCACCGCGACCCCGGATGTCCCCTGCCACCATTGCAGCCAAGGTAGGCAGATGGCTCCTCAGGCAGCCTAGCCTGGCACCCCCTCTGCTCCGAGGTCAATACCGGGAGACCCAGCAAGCGGTCCCCACGGCCATCCCCAGCCACCTTGGCAGTGACCGGGGAGTATGACCGAGGAGGCGGAGGATGAGGGTTCAGTGTGCATTTTCTCACCCTCAGCACGGAGAGGAGGTGTCCCCAGCAGCCAGCGACCTGGCCATGGTGCTGACCCGAGGCCTGAGCCTGGAGCACCAGAAGAGCAGCCGGGACTCCCTGCAGTACTCCAGCGGCTACAGCACGCAGACCACCACACCCTCCTGCTCTGAAGACACCATCCCCTCCCAAGGTGGGCCCTGCGGCCCTGCCCTGCCCATCTGGCCCTGTTCTTCCCTCTGTGTGTCCCCCCTGGGTAGCGGGGACTCAGGCGGCACCCGAACCCCAGGTCTCCCACATCCTGTGTCCCTAGGCTCCGACTACGACTGCTATTCTGTGAACGGCGATGCCGACAGTGACGGCCCCCAGGAGTTTGACAAGTCTTCCACCATTCCGCGCAACAGCAACATCGCCCAGAACTACCGCCGCCTCATCCAGACCAAGCGCCCGGCCTCCACTGCTGGGCTGCCCACAGCCACGGGCCTGCCCTCGGGTG